CAGCAGTCTAGAATTTCTGTAAGCTGCAGGGCTTTTAGAATTTACATCAGGGAAGATGCGGCCTGGTGCATGAGACTGTTCTGTAGAGCAAGCTTATCTTCATTGATGCAGGCTTTCTCTTGGAGTGTGGTAGCATTCTGATGTGCTTTAACTTTTTGAAGAATGTGAACACTTCTGAAAACGCAGTGAACGCTTTTTAAAACGCACATAAAATTTTTTATATGTCTACTGCCAGTACTACTTGCTGTATTTCTAAACCAAAGAATTATAATTTTATGAGACAATGCATTGGAAGCCTGTGTACTGTGAAAGGAATAATGGCAATAAAGTAAAAAAGGATACGACATCTTCTGTTTTTATTAAAATAATCCTCATACAAGGGACACTGAAGTGTGCTTTTGCAAAAAATTGTTCTGTCTCTTAGCCAAAGCAGTATTAAGTATGTGGTTGACTTCAGTGACATGAGTAGGTCTGTTGTGGTGATTATAAAAATGTTGGTGAGTGTGTTTCATGCTGTGCTCACAGATTAACAGTCTGCTAAGTACCCACATATTAATGTGTAATTGACATTTCAGTGGGACTAAGTACAGGTTTTGCAGAAATATGGTTTGTTGGTTTTTTCCCTTAAGTACAGAGGGGACTTTGTGCGAAGCTATCTTCTTCATGGGTGAAGTGGGATTCCCCTTTTGTTGAACAAAATGGAGAAAACTGGATTATCTTGCTTGTTTGTTTTGGCTGGAGATTGGTCAGGTACTCCCAGCTATTCATAACTAGGCTTTTCTTTCCCTTGAACGAAAGGAACGATGAAAAATTGGATCTACAGTGGACTTTGGAGGGCCACCAGCTGGGCGTGGTATCTGTGGATATCAGCCACACAGGCTCCATTGCAGCGTCCAGCTCCCTAGATGCCCACATTCGCCTTTGGGATTTAGAAACTGGCAAACAAATCAAGTCAATAGATGCTGGTCCTGGTAAGACATCAGTGCTAAGCTGTCCCTGCGTACGAAGTGTACAGTTAGGGTATATGAGACTACTAGTTGGGGTTTTTAAAATCTTTGTTTGCAAAAAATCTTAGTGATTTTATGAACTCAGCATAAAGTAGTATCAGAAAATTTTACATTTATTTTTTCACCCTACTTACACTTTCTCAGATACATTCAGATGTGCTTTTTGCTAGATGCATAAATGCATGAAGCAGAATGAAAACCAGCTTGGTCGTACAGATATATTGATAAAAGGATATTTTTCTAAAAAATCATTCAAATGCTTATATTCATTTACAAAGGAAGTCTGAACTTTCTTTGTCAGCACTGCACTGAATTTGAGCTGTATAGGTGATGCTTACTAATGCAGTACATCAGTTTTGAGCAAGTCAAAACACAGTAAAGCTGAAGTCTGGATCAATGTTTCACCCTCCAAGCTGGCATTCAGGGCCTGTTCTAAATATCTCGTTGGCCCTCTGGCAATCCCTAATTTAAGAACAATCTTGCGGTGTTTTAGGTAATACTAAGCTTATAGGGGGGAAAGAAAGGGAGTTATATTGTGCCAGATAACTACATTATACTGCTATAAAAGGTGGTTTTTTAAATTCCATTGCAAGCAATGTTCATTTATGTTACATTTGTATTTCTGTGTTTTCCTTCTGTGCTTTGCTGGATACTAGTGTTGCTTTATTTTAGTGGCTTAGTATCTTTTGGTACCAGCAGAAAAGTAAGAATTTAGATGTGACTCATGCAGTCTTAAATTCTAAACTTATTGTTACAGGAGGGTCTAATAATCTCAAGGTCTTATTAGAAAATGTAGTCTTTTGGTAAACAGAAATAAATAGCTCAAGATATGCTTTATTAATTGCACAGAAGGAAGTTAACTTTCATGAGCTTGTAGAGTGTACTATGAGTAGTTAGGGGCTTAAATTTCTAAACAGATGCATACAGAACTGACATTGTTGAATGTGAGCTAGAAACAGTATTCAGCTAACAGATTTATTTGTTTTTTCCTTTTAAATACAGTTGATGCTTGGTCTGTGGCTTTTTCTCCTGATTCCCAGTACCTTGCAACAGGAAGTCATGTGGGAAAAGTAAATATTTTTGGTGTCGAAACTGGAAAGAAAGAATATTCTCTGGACACCAGAGGAAAGTTCATCCTTAGCATTGCATATGTAAGAAGCAAACCGACAGTTTCTAATGTGAAATCCCTATTGCTGTGGTGTTTTGTAAATCAGATATGTTTGTCTCCGTCTGTCAGTTCATCTCTACCTAATACTAAATGACAGCCATACTTTGATAGTTCCAAATATGAACGGCTATCCTGCCTAGATCCTATTTGTGGGAAAGTTACCAAGAGCATGTGAGGGAGGTACACAACATAAATGCTACAGTTGTTAAATCCGTACTTTTTCTGTTTTATTACAGAGTCCAGATGGAAAATACTTGGCCAGTGGAGCGATCGATGGCATTATCAATATTTTTGATATTGCAACTGGAAAACTTCTGCATACGCTAGAAGGTAATGGTTTCTGCACTTGCAATACCCAAGTTCCAGCTTCACTGCTCGTAAAAATTAAAGGATATAATGCAAGTCAGAAGGAGATAAAACAGCCATGGCATAAATGAGTTGATGTTTCTGTCCATTAGACAGTATTTATTTAGTGGGCTGTAACTTAAACCACTTGAAGTATTGGAGGCAAACTGTGAATTCAGGCTTTCATGAGAAACTCCTATCTCAAAAGATACAGTCAGTAATGCTGAATTAAATTCTGAAGTTGCTGTTCTTCCTCGTAGTGCAGTACAGTGCAAGGGAATGAAGCTAAGCCGCATGTGTGCTGCCATGTTTATGATTTTTCTTTTTTTCCTATGGCATCAGTTTTATAGCAATTTATTCCTGTTTTGAAATATAACATTTTACCTTGTAGAAGACATGTATTTTTCTAACAGATAAATGGGCTTTTAATGTTCATGCAGTTTCTGTCTGGTTGTATATAGTTAATTAAAAAACCAACCACTTAAACAATATGAAATTGTATTAGAAAATACAACATAATTTCTAATAAAAATCAACAGCTGAAAAAAATAATTCATGTTGCAGTGGACATGCCTTAACATTCAAAGTTCAGAATTACCGTCAGCCTTTTGAGGCACAGAGAGAAGGATTCTTCAGAGGTGGCTTTCATTTAATAGGGAATGCTGTTCTGGTGTAGCTGTTTAGCACTCTCATTAGTAAGAATAACAGCAATATTCTAAGCCATATTTAACTTTGAATTTCAGGTCACGCAATGCCTATTCGTTCGCTGACGTTTTCTCCAGATTCTCAATTACTTGTAACTGCTTCAGATGACGGCTATATCAAAATCTACGATGTGTAAGTTGCTATTTTGCAAGACGTACAAACGGGAAAATAACTGTTTAGAGAGGCTGATACTGTGAAAAATAGATCAAAAATAATCTCTGTAATTCCCTTCAGCTTTTGGTGACTTTTTTAATGTAGTAAATAAAATTCTGCACCCTTAGATGGTTTTTAAAAAGTGCGTAGGTGGATGACAGCTTTAACTTGAAAACAACTTACTTTCCTCATATTTGCCCTATAGGCAACAGGCTAATTGCTTTGTATATAACCCATCTTAAACATCTGTTCTGTACCCAAGAAACTGTATTTATGACCTATTCCTGTTGCATTGCACAAAAACTTGGAAAACCCTGGGGAGGGGAAGGCACTGCTTCAGTGATCTTCACTCCCCTAAACCTGCATTATACTTTGCCTTCTTCACAGTGAAACTGTTTTGTTCACTGATGCAGACTTCACGCTAACAATCTGAAATGGAAAATCTGCTGTAACACCACTTCAGAAGTCACCTTCCACGACCTTGCACTGAACCATTCCTGACTGCACTACCTAGAGTAAAGTGCTATTGCTTTTTACCCCTGGAATTCAGAAACCCAATATTACAATTTGTTCTTTCCACAGGCAACATGCAAACTTGGCTGGCACATTAAGTGGTCATGGATCCTGGGTATTAAATGTAGCATTTTGTCCTGATGACACCCATTTTGTTTCCAGGTATTAAGGTTTTTAAACTTGTTTATGCTTACCGAAAAAAAAGTATTTATAAAGGAAGATGGATCAAACTAAGTGTGTACAGATTGCAGTGGAATCTATACTGAAGTAACATACATTACCATTAAAGACTCAAGAGCCAATCTGTGATGTGATGCCAGTTGTAGCGAATAGTATTTTCCACTGCAGTGCAGTTCCCTACAAGTGAACATCTAAATCTAAGAGAAGGGCAAATTGATCCTAAATAGCTGAAAAATGGCTGTTGAATTAAAAAGTACAACCTAAAGAAGTAGTACATTAATGTAGTTGAATTTAGTGTTAACTCAGGCAGCTGGGGGACTGATGAGTTTCTTTATCCAGAGAACTTGCTTCAAAGAATTTCCTGGCTAAAATGGAAGTCTTCATTTTCATGTTCCTTTTCTACTTCATTCCTGTACTTGATGCATGAAAGAGGGTGTCTCATGTCTCTTGTATGAGATCTTTTAAACTTTGCGCTAAGCTGTAGTAAATGTATTAATTTAAACATTGACCAATACTATTTTTCTTTCAGTTCATCTGATAAAAGCGTAAAAGTTTGGGAAGCTGGAACGAGAACCTGTGTTCATACTTTCTTTGACCACCAAGATCAGGTACATCTACTCTTGCTTTATCTAGGGCGCTGTGTTTGTAGAAGTTGAGCTGTGCATGTTTCTGCTTCAGCTTGGCACTATAGCTTTGGGGTTGGACTTCAGCTCGCTGTCGTGAAATCCTAAATGTTGTTCATGGTTATTTGGCACTTAATACTGAACTCCAAGCGTGCAGGTTGATCTCTTCCAAGTATTTTTCAGGTCCAAATAAGGGCTATCCTGAGTGACCAAAAGGATTCTTACCAGTCCGTATTTTTTATTTCTGTATGTGGTCTTATTTCTGTCACACAGTGTGTGCATGTGTAAGGCAGGAAAATACTTATTTAAAATTGTGGGAATATTTAAAAAGGTGCTTGAAAGCATCCTTGAAGATTGGTAATTTTTGCCTCTTCCAATGTCTGTAATACTCTATTTGATAGCTACACGAGGGAAGAGGAAGTTAGCTATCTGCCACATTACTCTTTCCAAATGCTAGGTGTTAAATTCTTCCAGATGTTACTTGGGCTCTTTCTTCCGTAGTACTTTTTTGCTGTTAACCTTCTTTTTCATTATCTCCAGCTATGGGGCTTTTACTATTTGAAGGACCAAGAACTGGGTTTCCAGTGTGTTTTAGCTGATGCTTATAACCTTACGAGTTTGTGGAAGGCAGAGATGTACCAGCTCTTCAGAAGGCTGTTTTTTAGGCATTAATGCAAAATAGTGTGAGATTCCTCAAAACATGCTGTTGTCAGTATACCCACTCTGCAGTCCTATGTTAATAACCTGGGTAGCCTTCACTCTCCCCGTTGTCACACCAGTGATGGAGACGAGGGTCACCTAAGAGTTTATGTAGCTGCACGTCAGAGGACTGACCTGAACTTCTCTGTTTTGTGGTAAATGGCTCTCTGAATTAGGCCAAGGACAAACCAGATCCTTCTTCAGTCTGTCATGATGTGTCTGCATGGAAATACTTCCTCTCTTGCTTTGTTGAAAGACTCTGAAAGTACTCTTTTCAGAAAGGATCACAGGATGGTTAAGAGTGAAAACTGTTAGGCCTGACTTAGGCAAACTGGGGCAAGTACTTTTCAACCTTTTTCAAGTATCCTTAGATTGCGTAATCCATTGTCAATCAGAGTGGGATGTAAGAACTTGCCAGCCTACTAGATGGCAGTGTCCTTCTCTGGTTCATCAACCTCATCTGTTCCAATAAGGAGATCTTAAATAAATAATCCCTCTTCTGCTTCTCGTGGTCAACAAGACTGCTACAAAGACATTTTTCTTAATCTCTTACTGATAGCTTTGTCTATGTCCTATTTTGTAGGTTTGGGGAGTGAAATACAATGGAAGTGGATCCAAAATTGTATCTGTTGGTGATGACCAAGAAATTCATATTTATGACTGTCCAGTTTAACTATCTTGACTCAGACCCTTTGGTTCCATGTAATTTTTTAGTATGTTAAAAGCATTTTAGTAATGCTGATCTGTAAAATCAGGTATGTTTATATGTATTTTTGATTTTGTTTAGCATCAGAAAGCTTTACTTTTTTAAAATAAAAGCTACAGGTGCAAGTAACATGTCCAATTCTTGGAAAAATTATTTTTGGAAATACATAGTCATGAGTGAAGTAACTGCTCAGTTAATCTCTTCTGCCTTTGTACATAAATAGACTGGGGCTGTAAAGGGTCGAGCAAGTCTCACATCAGGTTATTTTAGCAAAAGGAAAAGGGACTGAGGCTGTACACTGCATGCATGGGAAACGAGCGTCTGCACTCAGCTTGATATTGTCCCAGGGAGTACAACAAGGGTCACTTAAGTTCAACACCTGTTCCGGCAATTGTGTGGTGCCACTAGCTCATTCATCAGGGTTTCATTTCACAAATAGGTGGTAGTTGCTTCTAACCCCAACTTAATACAACCTCTACCAGAAAACAGAAACAAGGGATGTGGTCAGTCTACAAGGGTATCAACAAGGGTATACGACAGCAGTATACTCAACAGCTGTGGTTTTGGTTTATTTATATTAGTTAAGGCTCAAGTACACAACATCTAGGAGGAAGGTGGAAGCCTTTCTGGAGGCGGCTGAAAGCTAGAGCTTCTGAAAGATCAAATTTTATTTGGAAGTATTCACCTGTATGTAATCTAGAAGTATGTGGGGTACACTCTATACATAGTAGATGGGCACCTTATAACCCAAAGTTACATAGAGCTAAGCAGCTGAAGGAATACTACTCCCATACAACAAAACATAAGGAGTGTGCTATCTTCCGCATGGAGTAGGGCATGCACAAAATGCTTTAGAAATACAAGATAAGGCAGGTTCGAGTGTTGCTGTTAATAAAAAAGTTGAATATGGAGAACAATCTGGAGTAGGTGAGAGGAGTCTGACCTCAGGGAAACATTTAAATGAAAGGGGGCTCTGAAGTGGCTTAGAAAGTACAAGAGAAGCATGATAAAATGTGAAGAGTTCTATTTATTAGAAGTTATTTCTGCTATGTTTTTAATCTATGAAATTAATTTTCCAGTATGAAAGTATTTACATAAGACACTCCACTTAGCCTCTATCAATATTGCCAAAGTCTTATATAAATAGCATCAGTGAAATAAATTGAGAACCTTCACAGCAAAGGAAAATGTATACCAACTCAGTTGGTTCTCAGCTGTGTGACATCTGCCTTTATATATAAAGACTACAAGAACACAATATAAATTAGTTACAAAAAAGGTGATACTGACAGCGCAGCAACTCAATTTGCTGAACACAAAAACCACAAGCACTGGCTATTACAGCCATGCAGTTTTCATTGTGAAAATTTACATTTTAGATGACATCCATTCCACCTTGCTTTAAGATGTCTGACATTGTACTCCTGTTCTTGGCCCCTCCTCATCTTCTTCGTATGCTTCTCCCCCACTGTTACGGTAGGTTTGCTCATTTGGATCAAAATCTTCAAGGTCCACCTGATCCATCTCATCTGTAATCATAACATCTTCACGTGGAGGAAGCAGAGCCTCCAGCAGACACAGTTTCTCCCTTGGGAGCCAGTAGTGCTCTGGGAACTGGACCTATAATTTCATATTTTATTTTAAGTGAAGTTATTTCTGATACCCACGTGGACATCTCTGCTCTAGAAAAGCAGTCAACTTACCAAAAATTGGATAATTAAGCTGCCTTTGTCCATTGGAGATTTGTATACAGGCATCCCTTCGTTGTAGATGCACTTTAGATCACCATGCTTTATCACTTCACCTACATGGAGGTAAGAGCTGAAAGTAAGCTTGTATCACAGACATGCATAACTGTGAAAGACAGGGTGATACACAAGCAGGAAGACTGCTCATAGAAAAGGCTGCAGACCAAAGCACAAAGCCAAGCTATACTGAAGCAAGTTACTCAGTCTATTTCCTCTACTGTAAGAGAATCAGTTTCTCTTGGCACAGCCTGAAGGCTGAAATCACAGCCACCTTGCATGTTTTCCTGACAATCCACCGACTGAGGCTGAAGTTTACTAAGAAGCATTCAACAGCTTTAGCTCTTAATTCTGCATGTAATGTTTATGACTGACAAGAATGACAAAGAATCAACTGAATTAAATGACTGCAAGTGTAGTTTGAATATTACAACAACTGGTTACCCCCCTCCCCAAAAAATCCAAAACCCCACGAACGAACTCCAGAAAAAAAACAGTCCAGAGACAATGGAACAAACAGGCAAGCATTCATATAGCATGAGATCTCTTAAGACCCACCTGGCCTAGATGATATGACAAGAACTCTGTTATCCAGAGTTTCAATAGTCTTTCTGAAGCCACATAGAGCCTCTGAGAGTTGAATTCTCATTTTTGTGATTAAGTCATGCCCTCGTCTCTGAAAGACACTGTGATCCTTTTGATCGAGCACAATTATAACATCACCAGGCTCCAGATCAGGCTCCTGGTCACCTTCTCCATGAAATACTATCTTCTGACCATCTTTCATACCTGGAGAAGAGAAATCCATTTATTCTCTGTAGAACAACAAACCATGCTTGGAGACACTGAACAAACACACAGTTCTTACCTTTATCAACATGAACTTCTATGATCTTTTTCTCTCTTACAACCTTACAGCCATTGCAGTTGTCACACCGGTCCTTAGGATTTATTCTTTCACCTTGGCCTTTGCATTCTGGACACACAGTTTGGATTTGTTGTACCATGCCAGGTCCAATCTGCTGAACTAGAACTTGCATTCCTCTTCCTTTACACACAGGGCACTTCTCTACTGCCCCTCTCTTTCCACCATAACCTTTGATAAAAAAGTTAAATCTGATCTCAGTCTTGAAAAAAAACCACAACCACTACCTCACGTTACTTGAGGATAGTCAGGCTGGAACTTGCTGACTTCAAGAGCGCTTTCATGGCAACTTAGTAGTTCAGTAACGTATTTACAGTGTAAAGGAAATTAGTTTCCATCCCAAAATATGCCCCACAAATTAGAAGCTCCTACAAGCAAAGTCAAGTTTTCTATGCACAGCTTACTTTCTTGGCCTCTGCCTCACCTCCCATCCTGGTTTTCAATGGGCTATCAGTGTACCAACTTCAAGACCTAGACATTCCATTAATACTTTGGAAAATTCTGCTTGCTAAATATTTCATAGAGTACTACGATACAAGGCCTCATTATGATTTACCTCAAAGATTACCAGTCGTTACAGATACTTAATAGCTGTAAAGTGAGTTGTGCAATACAAGCTAGACTTCTACGTACAGAAATTAAAAAAAACCAAAACCATTTAGCAAAACAGCCATTTAAAGTTCTGAATTAAAATTCTTTTAATTTAGATACCCCTAACTGTAATTTGCAGTGAGTTTAAGCCTGCCATTAGAACAGTAACTTTATACCGCTATGTCTGAGTGCCTTATTCTTGGATGCGCATAAATAAGAACCAAATACCACATCCAACTTTCAGGGCATGAAGGAACAGAAAAACAACAAAAACAATGAACCCCCCACACTTTATTCCCAGCCCCACCTTAATATTAGTTTAAATTTTTTTAAAAAGTAAAAAAAAAAAAAAGATTGGCGTAAGAGGGGTTTAAAATCACCACTTGTTGGGTTAGTTTTTTTACCTTCACACTTTGCACAAATAACATTCTTTTGCAGTGCCAGTTTCCTTGTAATACCATTATATAGGTCTTCAAGAGATACACCTAACTGGTGCACAACATTTTTGCCTTTAAATAAAACAGAAGAAAAAGATTAATTCTAGTTCAACTGTTGTAAGGACAAATGTTTATTTAAAGGCTTCTACACTTGTTCATACATGCAGTCTCACTGAACGTATGTAAAGTTCATTCCAAACTTTGAACACAGCTCAGCCCCCTTAAAAGCACGTGCAGTTCCATCAGCTTCCACTGAGCTGCACTCACTTAGGTCAGAACATAAAAGTTTGGCTGTAATTAAGCAAAGCATCATTTAGAGCCACCCTATCCCTACCCCTGATTTCGTAAGCCTAACTGAAACGGCAAGATGCAAGGACACTACCAGCTTCAGATCTCATCAATTTACAAGTTGCTGTTATGCCTACCTATAAATTTCCATGCCACTTCATAGCATAACTTCAAAGCTTTTTACAGCAACTTACTACTTGCTCCTTCAACAGACACTGGGCATGGCAAAATAAAAGTATCACACAGTGCTTCTGACAGCACTCTGTGCTCAGTTTCACATGAATTTCTCCCAAATATGTTAACGAGATTTAACATTACTGAAGTTTAAGTTGATGGTGTCCTTTGAAGCAAGGTGCCTAAAGCAATGAGCAAGTGAGGCACAGATCTCAGGCAAAAAAGGTAACTTAAACCAGGTCTAATTCAACTGCTCTAACCTACCAATGCTTCCCCCTCCCCTACGAATTACCCACACCCACTTCAACAGCAAATATACAGAAGTCATCAGAAAGATTGCTATGGCTATGTCATGTTATCTATTAGAATCTTAACACTAAATTAACTGAAAAATAAATAAATTATAGTTTACTTGCTCTATTGTTGCAATGAGTAATATCCACACTATGTGCACTTAACAGAACAGCAGTACCATAGCACAGATGTTTTATGCTTAAGTGCACGGTTAAGAGTTTCTAGAACTTGTTTAGAACTGTGTACCTCTTCTCTCTCTATTCATTCGGCCTCCACCACCAAAGAACATGTCAAAGATGTCCATGGGTGAAGAGAAGCTGCCGCCACTCAGGCCTCCTTCTTTAATAGCCTGCTCCCCACCCTGGTCATAGAGGTCCCTTTTCTTTGGGTCCGACAGAACTTCATATGCCTGGGATATGAGTTTAAACTAAAAAGAAAAAAGAAGCTCTGAACAACTATGACCAAGAGGAAAAGTAACCCTCTCATATGCAACTCCACCTTCAGATTAAGCCACTACAGCATTTGTCTTTTTCCAAAAGGAAACTCCCTAAACAAACGGGTAACAGACTACAATAGTACACTTTTGTCCAGGAAATCCACCCCTTTTCTCCCTCTCCCCCCTCCTCCCATGTTACAAGTGGGCTTAATTCAGAGTCACATCCAACTTACAAGCATATGCAAACTACACTTGGATGACTGTGGTAGTTGTGACTATTATACGCCTCTAAGAAATCCATTTAGAAAGGGGTATGATACTATCCCCAAAGTCCTGGAGGTCCCCAGATGCTCAAGGGCCACGGCAGTGCTAGTCATTCTAGAGCTTCATGCCTGTTGAGCTGCTACATCCAGCTAGAACTAAACAGAAATTTAAGTGACTAGACACTTGATACTGCTTACTCATTGCAAACAGGACGACTTCGATACAAATCAGTATATCCACTTGATCCAAACAACTGTTTTTTTAAAACAGCTATTAAGAATTTCCTAAGATGACTAAGTCAATTTTTAAACACAATTTCCTATTACTAAAATGTCTACTTCCATTTTAAAAATTAATTACTTATGGCTAGGTAAAGTAAAAAACAAATAGGCCAAAAATAAAAGTAGAAAACGTTGTGTTTTGACTGTGCTACTATTTAACTAACTTGAGTTTTCTAAAATAGCATACTAGATATACCAATACGGAGCTTCTGTTCCTGTGTTAGGTATTATCAGAGCAGTTTTTAGATGAATAATCCCATCACTCAAGTTTTCCATGCTTTTCCAACTACGGTGCCCATTTATCCTCCTAGGCCACGCGTGGAGTTGACTTGGTCTCAACTAATAGCAGGAAATACAGTTTTTTTGTAAACGGTCCAGCCCACCTTCCTCTGGATAATTACCTTGTACATCTGCATTAGCATTTTCTCTGAAGGAAACTCATCCTGTTCAGGAACACAAATCCAGGCAGGGCGACCGCAGCAGGCACAGTAGTGCTGGCAGCTGGATCCACCGCTGGCCTTTACAACACCTGACACAGCACGATGGCCATGAGAACACTAGAAATCCTTTCAGCTTTGCCTGTTTTAACCAGCAACTCTGCAAGAATGAGCTCATCGGCAACTATGGGGAGAACTGCAACCAGAAGAGAGGAACTAACGCATCCTCCCTCCTGCTGCGGCTGGGCCATGAGGCCTGCTGCCAGCTTCGGGTGTTTTATACACTCGAGAGAGCAGGAGCCTTCCTTTCATCGCACTACGCTGCAAGAGGGGCGTTACATCTCTCCTTTAAGCAAAGCAGAATTTTAATGTAAAATCGAGGGCGCGCTTTC